TCACTAGGATGCATTCCTTTGAGTCAACGCTCAGACGTCCATGCCCCAAAATGTCACTGCCATTCAAGCCAGGCTGCTGCTTCAGGGATAATTTCTGGCCCTTTTGCAAGCTGTTCCAGTGCCTCTGCATTTTCCCCAGTCTGGTATTCTGAGACCTTTTCCTCACACCGTTTCTCTGCAAGCATACAGGCAAAAAGCTGAGCCACAAGAGATCTTTTCCTGTAAACTGTCGGTACCTGGGAGCTCATGATTCACCCTGAATTATCAAATGGTTCCACTACACCCAAACAAAGTCTAAGGTCTGTCAAAACAAGTTGCACTGAGACATTCCCTGATGCTTCAGGAAAGAAAAGGAGCATTGTTCCTTTTTTAGCAGAATGCAGTCACCAGCCCTGTACCTACAGGGAAAAGAAGCTTTGTGAAGAGACTGAGCAGACAGTATGACTGAGCAGTGCTTTTTGCAGGCAAGAACCTTTCATACGAAGAAAAGGGGAGGGGACAGCCGGTGAGGTTGCCTGGTCCAGGATGAAGGCAGATTTAGGACACAGACTGTTCCTCACTCTGACAGCGACTTGCTGTGAATCTGGCAGCCCACTTCACCTCTGTGAGCCTCCGTTTCCAGCTATAAAGCAGCTGTGCTAATTTTTATGTTCCTTGTAAGATGATATGATTAACCATACATCTTTGATTGTTATTATGCAAATGCACTGCAATACACCCTGCCAAAATACAGCCACTGCTGTACATCCAAGTAATAGCCTGGCTTAGACATACAGTGAACCCCAGGCAGGGATTGAATCCTAGCTGCTCAACCCCTGTTCCTATGTAACAGCCAATACATCCTTCCCTTGCTGGTAGTCCTATTGCTGGCCAGGCACAAGGGCTTTGGGAAAAACTGGTAAGAATTCCTGCTAACACAAGCAATTGTCTGCTAAAGTACATCTCCGTGTAAACCCGAGTGTGGGAAGCCCCAGCTGTGTTTTCTGTTATCTGCCCTTGAGGCTTAGCAGAATTACAATGCAGCAGCTGCCCAGTCTCTTAAACACCAGACAGGCAACCTGGCAAGGTTCAGGTGGTCCTTCAGATCCCAGCCGTTCTCAGTCTGGCCAAGCCTTAACTAAACAAGTGTGCCTGACCATCCCATAGCTTTAACAGCATAGAGCGGATGTAAAATACTAGGGGACATACTAAAATAAAGCTGATGTGAAAAGAGATGTGGCTCTACTATGTGGCCAACAGCAGCATCTCTGAAGAGCTTTACATATTTAGCAAAACCCAGGCTCTGAATGATTCGGTACTACAGGGAGCATTTAGTCATGGGCTGGTCCTAATGGGTTGAACTGGACGAGGGAGACACGAGTCAAAACAGCTCTCTTCATAGTGAATCCTATTAGCGATACAGCACCCATTGCAAGGAGAGGGTGAGCGCAAGTTTCTTCTGCTAAGATCGCAGTAGCAGAGACATTTTTATCACAGATCACGCATGTTACACCAAGGGGAACAGAACAGCTCCCAGAGCAAGACAGTAGCAAGTCTATTCTGACAGAAAATTACTTCAAGCAAAAGAGCAAACCAAAATCAAACCCAGGTAATTTCCAACAGCAAGGATTCAAGTCTCACAGATAGGATGCCATCTAATCACCTCAAATACAGCAAACCTTGAAGAGTGAGGGAGAGAGACTGTACGTGTGGGAAATCCAGGAAATACCTAATGCAGATGCCACTCAGCTAAGAACTTCCTACTCGAGTGAAAATACTACCTGAAGCACTTGGTGAGGGGGCAGGCAGTGAGCAGCCTTCTAGGGAGAGAACACAGCCCTACCAGCACTGCACCACTTCCTGCGTGAATACCGCTGAGGAGTAGCAGTTCTCACATAGCAAAACATGTAGGTATTTCCCCACTTAGACAGAGCCTGATGTGGTAACCTTGCATTTCACTCTGCAGACCTTCATTTCAAAACAACCTCTGCTTGGGCTCTTAAAAATTCACCGCTGTTTCACTCTCAAGAGGAGCCAATCCCAGGCCTGTTGTTCAACACATTCTCAGAGGGGAAAAAACAGCTATTTCAAATGACTCATTGCACACAAGCAACTACATAATTAAGATTGCCAGAGGAAATTATCTTCCAGCTCAAAAAAGAGAAGGTATATTATTATTCAAATACAGACACATTAATGTCCTGGAGCTGTCAGGCCCATTTCTGACATATTTTTGTGTGCCCCATCTGCTTGGAAGAACTGACAGAAGTGCGAGCGTGCATCTCAAGTAATCTGCATTTCCTTAAGGAGAGAGAACAAGCTGAGGCCACATGGGCAGAGTCACCACAGAGGAGACCCTGCCTTCTGTGGTTTCCTTGCATTATAAACTGCTGCTTTTAGCAGCCATACATTCCCATGCCACCATCCAGCTGTGGGATTTAATTATTTAGCTGCCTCAGAGCAGGATAAATCTCAGTAAACAGCAGGGAAACACACTCAAGGCAGGGTTAGTCCATTAATGAGAGGGGGACAGGAGCTGTGTGATGCCCACAGGGGAGTTCGCTGCATTTCAACATTAAACAAAAGTCATCCTGCTTTACATGTCTGCAGGTGACACTGTCCAAAATGTATTTTGGCCAGGGACTCGGAAAGCAAAAGGCTTGAACTGGCTTGAACTCGAAATTTACAGAGCCCCTTCAGCAATCTGTGATTATGTTCATCACAGAGAAAGCACCCATCTAACGGGCGATCTGTGAAGCAGAACAGGCAGTAATTGCAGAAGGGACAACTGTGCCGCATTCTCCATCCCTGCTCATGCGATAATGAGGCTGACAGGGTGGCTCTCAGCCAGCAGGATGGGCAGAGAGGGAAAAATGCAAAGGAACAACAGAAGCTTGCCTGTGGCATCCCGGCCCTGTTGAGTTAACTTCCCGGGCATGGGTTATCGACCAAAGGCTCAACATGGAAACACACGGTCCATCCCTAGGGAAACTGGAAGTATCCTGGCCTCTAGGTCTCCGGCACGTGTAGGACTGCAGCTGAGCTCTGCACATATATCCAGGAGCTTGCTAGCAACTTACTTATGTATGCTAACGCACAAAGTCGGAAAGTACGTCCTTGTGCTTCAAGGTGTCTAGTCACCAAAAGAGCCACCCGGCCAGAAATGATGCTCCCTCCAAAGAACAGGCACTGAATCGGCAAGGCAATTCCTGCAGTACCAATACCCCAATTCACTGCTTGTGTTAAATTAAGTCTGACTTTTTATCTCAAATTTGGTTTTATACCCAAACGTTAGGTTTAGTAGCCACTCACTTCCAGCCTTCTACCATCAGAGTGCTGTGCTGAGATCAGACACCTTGGGACACTCTTTGACAGTCAGGAACCTAAATAAGCAAGCACCTAAGGTACGAAGAGACAGGGGAGGAGGTAAAGTTCACCAAAACAGAGGGCATGGAATTACAGGGTTTCTCGCTCATTTCCAAGCGTGTCTGTGATGTGATGCATGTCCTTGCCAAGTCACTTAACCTCTCTCTACCATAGGTTCTGCACTTGCAAAATGTATTTAATTTTACTTTCGTTGTAGAGTGAACTATGTGATGTGGCAGAGAGATCCCAAGTGGGAAACAGGAGAGTGAATCTGTTTTTACAGTGGGAGAGGGCCTTTTTTTTCCACAGCTGAGCAGTCTGTGGGTTAAAACCAGCCAGTCAGCGTGGGGCTAGCACTGAACGTTAAACTGTGCTTTGCTCCCAATATTAACTATATTATCAATACACAGGTTCCTATTAGCTTTTGACAGAGAGGCTGCCCTCGAGCACAGGAAGTGCAAGCTTCAGCTAAACCAATACCTTTGCTAACTAAAAATGAGACGGAGATACTCTCTGGAGGAGGGGATGGAGTATTTACACAGTTACACAGGGCAATCAAAGGAGACCTGTGGCTTGAGCTGTGAGGCTCAAGTTTCATAGCTGGTTTGTTTTCCCTGTGATGACTGGTGCTGTTAAGCACAGGAGGGATGTTCGTTTTCTCTGAAGAATGGAGTATGGGGACGGAACAGTTAGGTGGGAGCTGAGCTTTGCAAGGATGAAGAACCAGTAAACACAAACAAAAATAAGCTATATGTGCTCTAAGAAAGAATAAAACACACCAAGAGACTATCCCTGCCACAAGGTGAGAAAGCAAACAGCAGCCACTGTTTGGTTCCAGCACAAGCCCCCACAATTTTCCTTCCTTTTCAATTTTCAGACAGGAAATCATGCTCCAGCATGATGCACAGCGAAGCAGTGGCTGCCCTGACGTTCTGTACTGAGTCCATAGAGAGTGCAATGGAACTAATTTTTTGGGCACCCTAAAGTGGGAAGCTGACAGCAATCTGCACTCCCCGTGCAGTTACAGGATACCCATCTCCAGAGTTTCTTCGTACTTCTGACTCGCTATTTTATGATTTATTGGTCTCTAACAGCAGAATAAGCAGATAAAGAACACTCCTAAAATTATATTTTGCTGAGCAAGATGATTTTCAGTCCCCTAGAGATTCAACCTACAGAACAGGATGGGGAAAAACACAACCCACCCAGCCTGCTCTGCCAGCCTCTCCGAAGAAATGTGTGTCCAAAAGAAGATTTACAAGCTTTCTAACAGCCTTCAGACATGGAGACTTCATATACTCAGGAGAGGAGTCGATTCTATAAAATAAACTGCGCTCCATAACCTTGCTGCAGTTTGTATTATTTACTGGTACAACAGTAAAGCACTACAAAGACAATAAAAACAGCAAGCTAAAAACACCAGCTGTAAAAGAGTCTCAAACTCTTCAGAAAACACTGCTGATTTGCAGACCCCCGGCGGAGCTGCCCAGAATGCCCTTCTGGTAGTAAGCAGCTCTCCCGCCCTGCAATCTCGCTCATTTTTCTTTCTCCGTACCTCGAAGCCCTGGGCGGCACAACCATTCCTGAGAGGCGCCGCACAAAAGCACACTGCCTTGCCCCCAGAGGTCTGTGTGAGACTCGGGACATGCATTTACCTCCGTGAAGCCCTCCTGAAGAATATCCAGTAGATTCCCTCTGGCCAAACAAGCGAGCATTCTCCACGAACCCACCAACGGGCGAGGGTCTCAGAGGGCACAGGGCAGATCCTCCAGCACTGGGCACGACCTCTTCCTCCTCCTCCCAAAGACAAAGAGTTGGAGCTCATCAGGAACCGCATTCAGAGTCCCATATGTGCAGCCCGTTACTGCACACGGATAGTTGAGCCAAAGTCAAGGCTTGCACTGGGCATGCTCGAGAGGGAGCTGCTGGGGGAGTAGCGGGAGAGATGTCACACGGTTCCTATAGAAACGCTTCGGCTTACAAGATGCAGGCCCAGGACTGAGTTGGGGAAACATCTGAAACCCATTTCCAGCAGTCGTACTCGCACAAAACCTGCTGTGTAAAAGAGATTTTCAAACCCACCAAACACAGCAAGCCCTGCGTGGCGTGGGGGCAGGGAGAGCCGAAGAACGACGAATAGCAGATGCCTTGCTTAGCTAGAAAAGCAAAAGGAAAGGCTGCAAGAGCTGCCGGCTTTAACTCTCAGCAGTCGTTCCGCAGCCCCGAGGAAACAGCAGCGTTGTCAGCAACCTGGTAGAGACAGGAAGCTGCAAACCAGGCCACAACACCGCTAGTAATATCGGCACGGTGCTCAACCCTATTCTAGCTGCCCTGGCAATGAAGCTGGAAGAAGAAAAAAGCCAGAAAACTTTCAAACTAGAAATAAATACAATCCCCGGAAAATTTTCTAAGTCAGTAACAACTGCGTTCATTCCAGAAACGAGTCACAAATATCTCCAGGCAATCCCTTGAACTCCATCTCCCCTTACAGGAAATGCCCAGGGGAAAAAGAAAAGCCTCTCAGAATGGATGAAGACTGTTCTCCCAGGGGCTGGGGGTGCCAGCCCACAGAGAAACACTGCAAGTCCTGCCCGCTGACACCAGGCTGTGCTTTCAGTTCAGAATACCTGGCCAAGCATTTCTAAGGGAGAGACACATTTAAAAACAAACATGTTTTTCTGCCTAAGTGTTGAAGCACCCGGAGGGAAAAGCAATTGAATAACGTGACCATTTTGCTCTGTCACGTATGGAGATGCAGCTAAAATGCAGAAAAATAAGCAACAGGTAATTTCCCTTGGTGACCAAACCAATTAATTCAAGAAGGAGTCAGTCCCCACGCCTCCTTTACATAAGATTTAAATTCTTTATTCATGATTGCCTTCCCTAGTTTTCATAATTCAGTGGACAAGGGAAGGGATTGTTCCCCTTGTGCTGGGCACTGGTGAGGCCACACCTTGAATCCTGGGTTCGGTTTTGGGTCCCTCACTCCAAGACAGACACTGCGGGGCTGAAGCCTGTCCAGAGAAGGGCAACGGGGCTGGGGGAGGGTCTGGAGAACAATTCCTGTGAGGAGCAGCTGAGGGAGCTGGGGGGCCGCAGCCGGGAAAAGAGGAGGCTCAGGGGAGACCTTATTGCTCCCTACAACTCCCTACAACTCCCTGAAAGGAGCGTGCAGTGCTGGGGCGGTTGGTCTCTTTTCCCAGGTGACAAGCAATAGGACAAGAGGAAACAGCCTCAAGTTATGCCAGGGCAGGTTTAGATTGTATATTAGGGAAAAGTTGTTCACGGAAAAAGTTGTCAGGCATTGGAACAGGCTGCCCAGGGAAGTGGTTGAGTCACCATCCCTGGAGGGATTTAAAAGATGAGGCACTTAGGGACATGGCAGTGTTAGGTCAAGGCTTGGACTTGATTTTAAAGGTCTCTTCCAAGCTAAAAGATTCTATGAACTGAGATTTTTATGTTTTTATTGACTGCAATATCCCATCTGTTAAGCAAAACAACAGATTACTGCGAGGCTTTGCATAAAGTCTTCTAAGCTGGCAATGCTGGCAGTTAGTACCTTGATCCAGTTTAATTTTGAGACTCAAAATGCCATTGAATAGACAGCAGTAAATATTTATCTCTATTTTTTGTGATGCGATCAAGTAGCTTATGCCTTTGCATTTCACTAACATTTCATAGAGAAACTGAATAATTGGTTTCCCCATCAGTCAAAGTGACCTCATTAAAGAACGTATATATATATGTGTAACAGATAGTCAGTCAAACATGGTCTAGAGAAGAGTAATTTCTCCTAGGCCAACCAAATATAGCAAATGACAAACAACCCTCTCATGCAGTTATTAGTACCAAGAGCCATTTCTCTCACCCCTACTCCCTATACCACTATTTCCTGGCACAAGCCAGAGGACCTAAAGCCAGATGTGTCACCCATAGTACAGTAGTGCCATCCCTGAGAAATGCAGGAATAGAATCACAGAATCGTCACAGAATGGTTTGGGCTGGAAGGGACCTTAAAGACCATCTAGTTCCACCCCCCCTGCCATGGGCAGGGACACCTTCAACTAGGCCAGGTCGCTAAAATCCTCATCCAGCCTGGCCTTGGACACTCCCAGGGATGGGGCATCCACAGCTTCTCTGGGCAACCTGTCCCAGTGCTTCACCACCCTCTCCAGGAAGGATTTCTTCCTGATATCTAATCTCAACCTCCCCACTTTCAATTTAAACCCGTTCCCCCTTGTCCTGTCACTACAGGCCCTTGTAAAAAGTCCCCCCCAGCTTCCTTGTAGCCCCTTCAGGCACTGGAAGGTGCTATAAGGTCTCCCCGGAGCCTTCTCTTCTCCAGGCGGAACAAGCCCAACTCTCTCAGCCTTTCATCACAGCAGAGGTGCCCCAACCCCAAGTCCTTCTCCTCAGGGCTGCACCTCATACCACCTCAGATTAATGCCATCTCAGGTTAATACATGAACTGTGTAGAAGTTGTTTGGATTGGAGGGACTGTTCAAGCCAGAAGCCTGACACTGCCTGCCTTTTTGGGTCAACCCAGAAAAGCTGGGACTGAAGTCTGAACTTAGGTGGTCACCTTCAGTCCCATATCCCTGTTACAGAGCTTCTACCTACTAGAACACCAGCACAGTGCTCTCATTGTATGTGCCAGGTTCAGGTACAGGCCTGCTCGTGGCATGTTTTCCATCAGAGATTTTGTCATCAAAGATTTGCTTCTACATGGGGTTTCTCATCTTTGAAACGGAACTGCCTCGCTTTGACAACATGAATCTCAGAGAATAGAAACTAGGTCGTTTTTGATGGCTAGACCGTGGGGCAGAGCATGCTGAGCCATTCTTCTCTTTACTGAGGTAACACAAATGCACCTTGGTTGTATGTGTGTGCTGAAAATACCTCTTAAAAATTAAACACTAGTTCTCCCATCTTTGTGTTTCACTCCTAAATTTCAAGCTTCTTGTAGCAAGAATCACATCTTTCTTTCAGTTTTATAACATCATAATAACTTCATTTGAATGCTATCTTTCCAAGAAGCAAACAAAACAGCCTCTCACTAAAACTAATGCTTCATAATTCTCCCTGAAGACGATTCCAAAACGAACGGCACGGGGCAACGATATCAACAGGATCTCCGCATCAATAGTTCTGGTGCGAGTGTCCTTCAAAACAAACCTGTAGGATGGCAGTTTGGTTGGTGGCATTGCCCTCTCCTGGCCAGTTTCAGCATAACCCTAACCCCCGGTGAATTCTGGCAAGGTGCATGACAAAGCCCTGTTACAGCCCCATTTCCTATTGTGGTCGTGTCACAGCAGCACCACCAGTATCAACAGGCAAGCCTTCCTTCAAAGCTTCCATCCAAGGATTTTTAAGGCACTGTATCAACATTGTCTGATTGTTTTTCTTATCAGCTCTTGAGAAAGAGCGAAAGATCAATGGTCACAGTTCAGCTCTTGCTAATAAAATTTTGGCTGGGGAAGTAAAAGCAAGTGAGGCTGATTCAGAAACTGTGAGGCTTGTGAAGACATGACTCCAGTAGTAGCAAAAAGAGCTGCCTAATGCAACTAATGCCTTTGTGTCACTGAGTGTCCCCTCCCACGCTCCCCATCAAGCATCCAAAACAGCGGTCAGACACAAAAAGGATTCCTGGAAACTCACAGAGGATGCAGCAGGCTGTGATGTGTGTAGGGGTACCATCTCCACCAGAGTTTCCATGCTGGATGCCACAGTTCAGCTCAGTGCCGAGGGGAATGTACCAGCACTCCTTCCCCCTTCAAACCTGAGGGGGAGAAGCAAATGTATTAAATACAAAGGAAAGAATTTCCTTAGAACGAGAACGGACTTAACCAATGAACTGTCTGAATACAATCAAAACAAAGGAGTGAAGTTGCCAGCTTCTCTCATTGCCTGCAGAAAATATTGAGGGATATTTGCACACCCAAGTGAAGAATGCATGGTGGACAGAATTCCCCTGAAATGCACATAAAAAAGATTCCTGGTTACATTGGCTTACACTGCACGTAGGATCTAATTATCAATTCCCATTCGTGGAGGGGGAATCCAAGTTCAACAGAAGTCATATATGCCAGCCAAAGCTGTACTGGTCCCTAGTGTCAAATATTCAGGGTATTTACTTGGTTATTTAGGTATTTAGCCCAGACAGCAAAGATTCAAAAAGAATTTTAGGAAACAATTTCACATAACTGACAATTAGAGATTTGCTAGTAATCTTTATTTTCTTTACTTGGTCTTCCTTTAGAAGTTTGGAGTAGCGTCTAGCAAAAGGAAGGGTGGGGGAGTTTGGGAAATGGATGATGGTAAGTAAGATTCCTCGAGAAAGACTGAATGGAGGAAGTAGGAATCACTGTTTTTAAGAATCATTTAAAGGAGGGCAGGAGTAACCCTTAGGTAGATGGTCACTGTCATCTTGGTTGCGCCATCCTGGTACATCTCTGGAGACCAAGGGTCAGGGATAGGACAGGTGACAGAGCCAGAGCCAAGGTGGGCTGCTGGGCCTGCTCAGGGTGGATGCGTTTTGGGGCCCACAGTGCAAAGCGGGGCTGAGAGGAAGGGAGCGGGAAGGCTACGAGGTGTGGGGCAAGGATCTGAGGCCTCGGAGGGGCTGTGTGGACCCAGGTGTCTCTGGAAGCGGTGTGGCCGCTTGGCATCCCCAGGAGCGGGGCTGACTGGGGGAGACCAGGGTATGGGGCATGGC